AGTTAGTCTGGGGGAGATCTATTATATGATACGATTTTGTTAATTAGTCCGTATCAACAAGAATAAAGAATTTTGGTGTGTAAATCTGAAATATAATTCCTTAGAATATAGCAAAATATAGCAGTGGCTCACAAACACCACGTCTGAACAAAAACACGCCCAAAGTTCACTGTAAAACGTATCTGGAAACACTGGTGACGAGCAAAAGCACCGCGAAGAAAACCCATTTAAAGCACGGTGGTCGTCGCGCAGTGCGTGTTTGAATTTCATGAAAATAAACAATGTATTTTACACGCGTTGTATACGTCGCTATGAGTCACATATCGAACAGGACATCATGGAGGTAAAACAGAAATAACCTACATGATTAAACACAGTCAATAGACACCTGGATGGTAATTCAAGCAATAAAACAAAACCAACATCGCAGGATGGTGAATAAGAAGTTTCTCGAAATGCTGATTGATGTGAAAATATTCACTTGCGCACCGGTAAGGGAAGTACAAATAAAACTGGGTGAATGTGCAAAACAACACCACCGCACTTGAAATTATCACCTAATTACTAAAGCCGGGGAGTCGTTACCTGCGCCTTAGCGTGTCATTGTTTACGAACAAGCGTCTACCCATGAGCCTTTGCGTTTTTAGCGTGTGTTGTTATCGTCCCTTGGGACTCAATTCCCGCGCATACTCACCACCCATATTAACCATACAAAGGAAACTTTATTTGTTACTCCAAGTGGGTTTTTATTATTAGGGGCATGCGTTATTCAGAACAGGGACGGACGCCAGGCATACGTGACCCACAATCGAACGCACTAATGACGTCAATGTAAAAGTTCTCTCGCATATTCGTACATAAAATATTTCCGTTGTACTGATGACGTCATGTCCAATGATTGTATCACTCACTGTGGGGGAAATCCCGGGGGAAAAGATAAATATATTTACGGATATAGTAATGCACGACTTCTCGCCATCTGCATGATTTCCCATTCCGCTGTCCCGTCTAACCGAGGTACTCTGTATGAAGGACAAGTTTTGTCACATTTTCTGACGTTATCTTGTACAGTTGTGTACATTTTGTTAACCTTGTTTCGTTTCAGCTTGCAGCTGTCGCAATTACATGACCTTTCCCATGCATGTAGATTGCATAAGACTGGTCATTTTCGTTGGCTTTGGGATGCAGGACAATCTGATTTCGTGAAAGTATGAAAAGA